ATAATGTTTGTCAAATTAGTTCAAGATATATATATTGAGAGGAAGTCTACACTTTCTATACTGTGTACTGATGTCCAAAAGGCATTTGATACGATTAATAGAGGAATTCTGTGGAAGATTTTGGATAAATATGGTCTAAACGAGAATGAGTTGAATAGAATTAAATTGTTGTATTATAAACCGTATACTCAAATTAATGTAAATGGAAGCTCATCTATTGATGTTTGTTGTGATGCGGGTGTGAGGCAGGGTTGCCCGTCAGCAATGCTATTGTTTGTGATTTATATTGATTTACTTTTGAAAAATATACAGACAGATCAAATGATTAATTCTATTTACATACCGGGAATGACTGAGCATGTTAAGTTTATAGCGCACGCAGATGATATTAGTTTCTTTTTGGTTGATCAACCGTCAGCGAATAGGACTGTGTCCATAATTAAAAAGTTTAGTAAACTGACTGGAATGGTGGTTAATGAAAATAAATGCAAGATGATGAATGTATATGGTGATTTACGATGCGATATGATGAATGTGAATAAGGTAAATAATGCTAACTTGTTAGGAATTTGGTATGGATTAAATAGTCGTGAAAAGACTGTAGAAGTGATTTTGCAAAAGGTGGAGAGTGCTATTGAAGAATGGGATGATAACTGGTACTATATGCCTGAGAGAGTAAAAATTATTAATAAGGCAGTTTATTCAAGGATAATATATCAGCTTTACACAACAAGTTTGAGAATTTCTGATATTAAGTTAATTGAGAGGAAAATTTTTAACTTTGTTTGGAAAAAAACCTATGAGCCAATGAGCCGAAGGATGATGAAAAACAGGTGGGATAATGGTGGATGGGGAATATGGGATTTGAAAGGACTGGAATATGCAGTACAGTTATCTAATATATGTAACGTCCTGAAAACACGTAATCATCCACTAATGTTTGTGGCGGAATACATTCTTGGCCCTATTGTTAAAACCTTTACACAGATAAGAGGAAGTAGACCATTCCTCGTAAATAGCAAAGGGAAATATCGTAATTGGAGACAGTATTTGAGACAAATAATGGATGAAGACAGTCAAGTTTTATTGGACGACCGAAAGGTTCGTCCAAGTATATTGTATAAATATATCCACAAGCAAGTTATTAATCAAAATATGCTATTGTCATCATATAATTGGAATGATATTTGGAAAAATGTGGGTTTCCTTCCTGCAGAGTGGCGCGAGACATCGTGGCGCATTATTCAGAATGTAGTTATGACTAAAAGTTTTTTGAATACTCATTGTTATAAAATAGATGTAAGGTGTTTAATGTGTCGACGGGAGGAGACAACAATTCATGTGTTTTTTGAATGTCCCATAGCGGCTCAGGTTTGGAGATGGGTTGAAAGGGTTTGTAAGACAAAAATAACATGGACTAATGTAAAGTATCAAACTGACTATAAATGTAGGTATTCGTTCAAATATATGATAAATTGGATTATAGGGCTAACTAAACGGATACTTTGGAAGTCGCGATGTGAACTGATATTTGAACAGAGGAAATGGAATGCTACATTTTTGGTTATGAAAATTAAGGAAGAAGCGATAAGGAAAATTAACATTGACTGTGAAAATATGTCAGAAAGAGAATTTGCCTGCAAGTATGGTGGACCAATTGGAGTAATTTGGAAACAAGAAAATGACGTTATTCTATTTAGAGATGATTGGAGCACCTAATTTTTTTGTGATTTACTTCAGTGACCAATAGTGATATATAGTATGTGTGTCTTTGATTGATATAATTCTTTAACTTTCTAAGATTGTAGATTGTTTAATGTTGAATGTAGTTTACTTCTTTTTAAGAAATGTTTATTTTGATATAATTTTATATTTTGATGTATTTGTGAATCTGAGAATTTGTTTTAAGTGAAGTTTTGTAATAAAATAAACAGTGTGTTAATTTCTAAAGTGTTTATTATGTCGGGCATGAAGTATTGCATTATATTATTCTGGTAATGGAGGAGTATTGGATGAAATCTATATACACCTGGTTTGTCTGTTTTTAAACTAATAAATAACAATAATAATAAGTATTTGTTCTAAGGAGAAAGGAATTATAAAAGTTAATATTGATGGTGAAAACATGTTAGAAAGAGAATTTGACTGTAATCATGGTGAATATAAAGGTGTAACCTGGAAAAAAAAGAGATGTTTATTTTAATGTTGATTTTTTTTCTGTGATCTGGCTAAACGACAGATAGTTATGATATATTTGTGTTCTGAATGATTTAATTTTTAAAATTTTTATGATTCTTGGTTGTATTTTGCTGAGAGCAGTTTGTTACTCTCTGTGAAATATATTCTTTGTATTATTTATATATGTTTTAGGTATTATAGAATTTAAAAAGTTATTATAATTTGTTGTGAAGTTATGTTTGATGTTAATTTGTAAAAAGTTTATGCTATGTCGGGCATGGTCTCTTGTATTAAAATAGAAATAACTAATTGTCGGTTGAAATATGTAATATTATGTATCTGGCTTGCTTTTAAACTATTAAACAACAATAAAATTTGGTTTAGTAGTGCGTCTGGCTTTGGTTTGTTGTGCATCTGTTTAAGGGCCGACCAGTGGCCTAGCGGTCTTCGTACCCTGAACACTGGGAGTTCGGTAGCGAGTTCTCACCTCGCTCGGACGGGCTGGCCACGTGGAGTTTTCCGGGTTTTCTCCACGTCCCTAACGCCTAAATAGGGGCCAGTTTCCCTTAAAAGACCTCCCGGAAGGCACCCTCCCAGGCAGATCACCGAAGTGTTGATCTGCCATAATCAAACAAACAAACAGCATCTATTATCCGACCGCCGCATCGGTTAACCGACCGTCTACTTGGCAAGTTTCAAATGTCTGCTAGTGATATGCCATTACAATATTTGGCTATGTCTTGACTACTTTAATATTATATTTGTTAAATTTTTGCGTGTTTTAGCTGGCATCAACGGCTCAACCATTGAAGGTAGGCCATTATTTAAACGAGACTTAATTTTCTAATTATGAGTGGTTGTTTGTTTCGTGAGCAATAAAATAATTTTTAACGATACAATAGCGACGTTTATTATTTAAAAAAAACAATTGTTAGGCTAAACATCGATGAAAATTCAACGCTAAGTTGGTTAATAGCGTTAAATATACTAATATCCTAATATACTATACTAATAATGTATTTTTTCCCTTTTTTTTTTCAGTTATCCGACCAACCTGAATCCCCAATTGAGTCGGATAATCGATGCTCTATTGTATTTCATTTCGTTTTATTTGAGAACGCTTTCTTACACAGATGACAATTACAGATGACAATAAAGTATATCTTCTCAAGCTCAGACTAGCAGTGTCTTGCTCCTGTACATCGTATTTTTTCTATTAAGAATCCTTTGATTCGAGCTCCCGGGTTCCACGTCAGACGAACGCGTGCTCCCGAGCACTCGAAATCTAATCGCCCTACGACATTCTAAACAATAAGTTATGAAATAATCGGCCTTACAATGCAAGAATGGTCTTCGTTGTTTCAATTATAATAGCATCGAAACAATTATTAAATTTTCAAGTCAACTGTATGAATTATTAATTTTGTCTTTCATTACAAAATTACTGTACTGTATTTTTATATAGTACTTGAATACAATTTTGTCTTCATGATTTAAAATACCCGTGGGTAGCTTTGGTGTGATAAGCCAGATGAAGGGTAAAAGGACAGAAAATAGACTCAACCATATCTGTAATCTCTAAAAAAAAAGGTATTAAAATACAAACACTGAAAAATAATACGAAAAAAATTGGCGAATTGGTACCCGACGTGGCTACATCCCTGCATTGGAGGAAGCGACACGATCGCTTTATTTTCTATACAAAAAAGGTTTGAAAACAGGTCGACGATATTACGAAAGCATAATTCTGTCCTGTGTGTCACTTTATTGTAAGTCCCATTATGTGAGGTGAGGGATGGGACCCGACGTATTCGTACGGACTAGTCCCGAAAATTTCTGGGGTTTTTCGACCGTTCCAGATTCGATAGCCAGTGGTAAACTGCTACCTTAACTGCAAATAAACAAGAACTATTCTGGAAACAATAGAAAATTAAAATTTAATTTACTCACAAAAGTAGGCTTATCTGTTTTAGTCGAAAAAACGCAATCATCGTTGATGTGCTGACTGTGGGCAATACATCTATGCATATCAACTACTCTGTCCTCATCTAAAATACCAGAGAATCCCAAAAGTAAGTTCTCCTATGTTTTTCTCAGAAAAACAAATAAACGTTTATTTTCAAAATGTTTACATCACTTTAAAGCTTGAACATTTATCTATTTTTCTACATAATCGTTATTTCGATCTATGCATTTTTGTAGGCGCTGTGGCAGCTTTTTATGCCTATGCCATACCAGCTCGCCTCCATGTCGTGTTAAACGATTGAAATTCATCGCGCAATTCATGAAGTGAATGGCGAGTCGAGCATAAATGCCATAAACGTCCGCAAGTGGTGTAGGGAGAGTACGGCTGGTCGTACTAAAATTTACGAAGAAGAAAGAAACGGGAGACAGTCAATTTCTGACGAGACAGTCGCGAAGATTGAGCAAACCATACGTGAAAATCGGCGGATCACTCTGGATGATCTCCGCATTTTGATACCTGGGATTTCCCGAAGCACCCTCCATTTTAAGGGAAAAGTTGCAATATCGAAAGGTGCGCGCAAAATGGGTCACGCGATATGGCATGGCATAAAATACTGCCACAGCGCCTACAAAAATGCATCGATCGAAATGGCGATTATGTAAATAAATAGATAAATGTTTAAGCTTTAAAGTGATGTAAACATTCTTGAAAATAAACGTTTATTTGTATTTCTGAAGACGATAGGAGCTCTTACTTTTGGGATTACCTTCGTAGTACCGTACATTGCATTTCTTCCTTCTCGACCTTACTATTTTGTTTCTTCTTAAATTTCGAGATGGATGCATCTCCGGGTTAAAGTAAAAATACAGTTTCAGTAACTTCCACTGCACGGCTATTGAGAAAAGTTCGCTGTTTCTTTTAATAAACTCATTTTTATTTACAATGTTTATTTCACAATAAATGAATGGTAGCCTATCTGTAAGTTACACAAAATTATAACTTCTGTACAGAATATAAGCCTAAACTTAATTTAAAATTAGGCATAATTTTACGGTTATAAGCCTGACTCGAATTTTATTAAACTACAAACTTTCGAAATCCCTACAGTTTGTAGTTTCAAACCCTAGGCAGTTACGACCTACAATTCCGTGGACGGCCACCCACCGAATGATGCTAGTGTAATCGTTACAAAGAGGTTTAATTTGCATAAATTTAAGTTTTTGTTATTTTGGGCAACATTTCGAATGAAAATCATTCGTTCGGATACAATTTCGTCTTAAAATACGATAATAAAGTCAGGTTTAACCTATCGAACCTCCAAGTGTCGCCAGCAATTCATTGATAACGAGAAAGGCTTCAGTTTTAAAACTTGAACTCTCTAGATCTGTTTTTTTCTGTAAGAGCATCTGCACCGCCAAATAAATAAGAAAAAAGAGAAAATACGGCTTTTTTGGCCATCTTTGCACTTTCCAACTGCTTATATTTCGGCAACAGATTTATAGAAAAACCTAAAATTTTGCACGCTACCTACGAAAACAAGTGTCATTCGAACGAGATATCCACATTTCCTATAGACGTTTAAAAGACAGAAAAATCAACCCCCGAAAATCAAAAACACTAATTCCTGTATATATACAGTCATTTAGTAAATTTTCCACTTAACGATGTGTGACTCAAGTAAATCTCGATACTACAAAACGGGCTTTTTGCTACGAAATTAATGAATTCGGTGCAAAACAATGGTATTGTAAGTAAATTTCTTAACACCTATTATATTTTAACGAACGACGTAGATATTAATTAATAACATTCAACAAAGAGAAAGATGTAAGACTGAGGTATGCGCTGGTATAATGTCACGTCCGTTAGACCCACGCTGACCCGGCAACGGGCAATAACGCCGCGTAGGCTTCCCAAATAGTGATAAAATATCAAATGTAATTATATAATTTATTATAAAATAAAGTTAAAATTATTTAAATTAAATTAATTGTAATATTTCTGTGTATTTTGTGATTTCGTTTTATATTTAAACTGTTCTGACGTGTGTTATAAAAACAATATCTTAAAATAAATTGAATATTAAATTTAAGTATACTCGTGTCAAAGTTCGAATGTAAAAGATGAAAATAATATCACCGAATCACGAAAAAAGTACAACTTATTAGATGAATTATTTGATTAACAAAGTACCGACGACAGTCACAGAGACGAATTTGCAAAGTCTCCGCTGTCATTCAAAATTTTATTATTACAAACAAATTTGATTACACGCGATACGATTAAAACTAAACTTCTGATAACTGACCATTATCTAACACTACAAATAACAGAAATATATACAGAAAAAAGTAAGAAAACTCTACCAGTAGTCGGATTCTCTTTCTTCGCCTTAAGCGGGCTTTGTTTGTGCTGTGACGTCGGCCGTCTTCGACCCGCATCTGTCTCTGTTTGCTTCTTCTTAGAATAATTTAAGATTAATTACTAAGAATAGAAGATATCCAAATGATTCATTAACTAATTAATTAATTTAATATTAAAATAAATTTCTAATACAAAAAATTTATTGTTTCAT